TGTTAATTATCTTCCTGACAGATGGATCTGGCAATTCATTTCAGCTGCTTTAGATCATACATTCCTCTGGCTGGTAGAGCTTCAGAAAATAGAGAAATAGATCTTCAAGATGAATGCAAAGGAAGGAATGCCATAACAAGGACAGATGTTGCCATGAAATTTTAGTGTTGCATTCGACAGGGCCTTCACATTACATATCATCCTTGTGATATTTGTATTTTTTCAGAGCCTGGTTGAGCTGGGCCTGCTGCATGTAACTGCAGCCTTCCAATGGAGTCCTGCTCACCTCCAACAGCCACTGCTGATTCTCCTGCCTCTCTGCTTGCATCGTTTGAAGGAGTTTACAACGTATTTCATATGCATTCAGACTAAGAAGTGTTTTCCATCTCCTTCAACACCACATCATCAGGGGTTTCTAACAAATCACATGCGTGGCTTCCTGACTGCATACCAACAAACACAAATGCTATCGATAACACACGTTTTGAAACAAACTCTTTCAGATACAGCCTGCAAAGCGCCAGGAAACCATGAACAGCACCACAGCAACCCCTCCAAATATCTGCAGTCTCAATGATGTAATTCCTCAATCCTTCACAGACACGTCAAGAAGCCCTACTGAGATCTGGATTTCACTCTCTTAGGTGCTCAGTTAAAACACTGCAAGTGAAATTGAGCTTGTAAGCTTAGCACTGAATGGAACTCCTGACTCTAACAGAATATTTTAAAATACTGTACTTGCTTAAACAATAGATGACAACCAGGACCCTCTATTTCCAAGGAACAGAAAAGGTGCAGCCTTAGAAAATAGGTGGAAAAAAAGCTAAGTGTGACAAGAAAAATATATTCCCTATATGAGAAAATGCAGGTTTCTCTCTTGGTCTCTTCTTCTTTTATTTTGAATTATGAATGCAGTATCTCTAGGTGTCACTTAGGTACTAAAGCACTAGTCAGTGTGAGAATAACTCAGATGGAGATATCACAGGAAAGCATACTTGCTGCTCAGTGATGTTCAACTCTGCAAAATCAAAACTCGTAGCAGGGCTTTGTGCTGGGATTCTTTCTAAGGCTATTTCAGTCAGTGTCTTTGTCATAAAATATCCTACAGGTTAACAAAGAAGAAGGTCACAAAGATGACCCATTCCATCACAGTCCACCACGTTCTGAGGTTTCCTATGAAGTCCGTGGCAGAAAAGTTGGAAAAAATTCCAATTCTCAGAAACTTTCCCAGTTATTCCAACTTTCCAGAACTAACCTCAGCACCTCTTGGCTTGGCATGTTGGAGAGGTGAGTTCAGAGCAGGAGCTTGGTGGGAAACATGGGCTGCTCCCCACCACCTGCCCTGCTCATGGTGCCCCCAAGGACTGGTGTCCTCAGGAGAGCCTCCACTTGGGGCACTCCTCTCACTGAGCTCTTTCAAACATCAGTGGTTGCCACGAATGATTGCAAGAGCATCCATGTGAGCATAAAAGCACTGCAGCAAGGCCAAAGCGAGGGCAAAACAATTACCGCCGTCACCATCCCTGCTGTCTCCTGGGTTATTCCCAGGGAACAGCAAAAGCAAAACAGTAAGAGCACAACCCGAACGTTGGATTAAACCGTGAGCTGAGGCTTTGAGATCTGCAGATGTGGTTCTGCCCTTATCGCTGACTGCGCCGTGACGACTCAGCAGTTCCATGCTGCACCTGGCCCGACCTTTTTTTTCCCCATTGATTTATTCAGCTTTCTGCTCTCTTCCTATGCACCGAGCCTCATTTTGTACTGCAGATTACAGCAATTCTGGCCAATCGCACTCAGCGGAAGCAAGAGCATCTTGCCTTGTTTCTGGGAGGTCCAAGGATAAGGTCCTGTCCCTTAGAAACAATTGAGCCAAGAGCTGAGATTAAAATTCAGCTTGAGAACAGAAGGTCTGGCATTATTTTGCATTTCTTAATAAAAGGTTTCCACTGCTGTAGTTATTTCCTCTCCGTTGTGGAGCACCCAGTGCTGACTAGGCAAGGGCTATCCATTAAAGGCTTAAAGAGAAGTTCCCTCTCTTTGACGGGAAGAAGGTAGGAGAAATTAATTTCTCTTTCAGCATCGCCACACCTGGGGAAAGGATCTTGCTCACAGATAACAGCGCAAGCAAATATTTTCTTTGGGAGAAAAAGAGAAAGTGAAGATCAAGGTCAGAGCAGGCAAGAGTAAAGACAGGCGACTGCCTTCAAAATAACCTTCCATAGAACGTGTGGGGGTGTCATTTTATTTAATACGGAAAACATGCAAAAGCATAAAAAGGAGGGGGAACTGGCTTGGGGCTTACAGAGAGATAAAGGGGTTTCAGTGTCTGGTTGTGCAGATATGCTGAATTCCAGCTGTACAGAGTGAGACACGCAGATGAGGAAGGGCTGAGATACTGCATTTACCCTCCATGTACACATGGAGTGCTGCCCAACACCACTATCCATGACTTTATGAGACATCTTCCTGCTCACAGGGCTCAAGAGCTGCGGCTTCTCTTTGCTGTGAAGCTGCAGGACCCCTCAGCTCCAGAGGGTATGAAACAGTGCTATGCACATATGCGTACTAGGATATGAAAAAATCACTTTTCAAGATTTCAAACACATGCCAAAGCCCTGCATTAAAAAAAAAAACATCTCCAAGTGCTAAGCAATATGCATCTTTGACTCCTCACCCAGTGGCTAAAGGCTTCATTTTAGCTTTCCAAGTGCCCAGTCAAAGCTCACCGTCTAGATTTTCACTGCAGACCCTCAGAGGACCCACTGCCCAGATGAAAGGCTTTGGTTGGGTTGGCTGTGCCAGCCTCTGCCAGCAGCTGCTTCTGTCTCCTGACTGCAGAAAGACAACCTTCTATTTTTTGCCTGATTTGCAGCTGATTCTATAACTAAGTGAGACATGCAGACAGGTACAGCAGTGTAATTTATTCAGTGCCATACAGGAAAATTGTTATTAATCCCTGGCTATTGACTGAACAGTGAGGGCACTCTCCCACTTCAGATGGCTATAGGCTAGAAGTCACCCCTAAAATTACACCAAAAGACATGGGAATAGCAGTCAGAATACAAGTTATGTTTTGGACTTTTTTTTTTTTTCACGCTTTATTATGAACTCAAAACTGGACCTGCTTCTGTGGGAACTTATGCTAAGGTATGCAAATATTTCAAACCAAACCAGTCCCATTTTCCAATGTGAGTGGGCCAGGTTTCAGGCAAAGATGCTTTCACAGCAAAACCATGGGAAAATTCACCAGTTTTCCACGTTTCCAATATGCCAATATTCATCTCCTGTGAAGTGCCAGCAGTTGTTGGAACAAGGCTACAACCCAAGAAAGCGTTTATGCACATGCTTAACTTTCAGCACGAGGTTCAGGGGTTTGCTTTTACATTCACTATTGTTAGCTACCTTGAATTTTTAAACCCATAGGGACAATTTGCATCTTCTGAGCTGTATAATTGCACCATGAAAGGGATGGTAGCTCATGATTACTGAATTGTTAATTAATCATTTTTATTATATTTAAACATGCTTCAGAAGACCATAATGATGTATGCTTCCTTGATATTAGCTGTACTAATTAGATCATCTTTTCTAAATTAGAGTGCAGTTTTCTTAGCAGGTTTCCTTTTATCTGGTGTTCATTTTCAAAAGAGCTTCATGTTGTTCCCACAGATGAGTGAATCACTTCCAGGGAATCATGTTATGCAAAAGATGTTTTTCTTGCTTCTGGAGAATGCCTGTGGGTAGATCATGGATCTCCTCGAAATCATTAAATATTTTGAAGTTGAGCTTTCCTCAACAATCATACATTCCTTCAACAGATGAGCATAACTGCAGCTAAGATGAAATTCACTCCCTACAACAAACTGGCACGTATGATGTGTTTACTGTGCAATACAGCCTGTGTCAGTGACACATGAAAGGAGAAAATGAAAGCAGCTGAAACACATTTACATACCTGAACACGCAATTTTACTTTCTGCCTTCTCTCTCAAGCAGCTAATTAGAAGTTACGATGCTCTGGCACTGAAAGCAATGCTGCCTCCTTCACCAAAATACTACTGTGAAAAAATTTCTGAGGAAACGGTGAGCGTGATACTCCTGAGGTCCTCCCTCAGGTTATCTTAAACATTTACGTTATCAAAGCTCAACTAGTTTGCAATATCCTTTGAGCTTAAAGGAAGATGGAATTTCACGTTTCTGCATGACCAGCAGGTGATTTCACCTGACTGTAATGCTCCTGAATTCCAGAAAGAATCGAAGAGAACACCCTCTCTTGGGCTCCATCAGAAGAGGGGTGGCCAGCAGGGACAGAGAGGTGATTGTTCCCCTCTACTCTGCTCTTGTGAGGCCCCATCTGGAATACTGCGTCCAGGTCTGGAGCCCCCAGTACAAGAAAGACAGGGAGCTGTTGGAGAGGGTCCAGAGGAGGGCCACAAAGATGATCAGGGGACTGGAGCACCTCCCCTATGAGGACAGGCTGAGGGAGCTGGGCTTGTTCAGCCTGGAGAAAAGAAGGCTGCGGGGTGACCTCATTGCAGCCTTTCAGTACCTAAAGGGAGCCTACAAACAGGAGGGAAATCAACTCTTTGAAAGGGTGAGTGACAGCAGGACAAGGGGAAACGGTTTTAAGCTGAGGGAGGGGAGATTTAGGTTGGACGTCAGGGGGAAATTCTTTACGGAGAGAGTGGTGAGGTGCTGGAACAGCTGCCCAGAGAGGCTGTGGATGCCCCGTCCCTGGAGGTGTTCAAGGCCAGATTGGATGGGGCCCTGGGCAGCCTGGTCTAGCATTAGGTGGAATGGTTGGTGGCCCTGCGTGTGGCGGGGGGGTTGGAGATTCATGATCCTTGAGGTCCCTTCCAACCCTGGCAATTCTGTGATTCTGTGATTCTGTGATACATCTACCTAGTTTAAAAGTCCAGTACCCAATGGCAATACCAGACATCAGCAGGTTGAGGAGAAGAGGCTATAATTTGCAGGCGTCTCTGCAAAGCAGTACTTACATGTCAACGAATCTTCTGCTGAGGTTCGAGATGACAGCGGGAGATCCGGACTGGAAAGGAGGGTCTCGAACCACTTTGTATTGGATGGGTTTGCAGTCTGTGCACAGCGTGCTGTGGGGGACGGAGCTCAGCATGGCAGCATCGATTTCCAAGTGCTCATCCAGAGTGTAGATCTGGATGCCGTACACCTCTTCGCCCACCTGTCCTGCGTCCAGCTTGATGGTCAGAGGGATGTCACAGAAGACGTTCTGCGGCCCAAGAGAGATGTTCTTCCCACTGACAGTGAGCAACTTGACATCATTCACCGCTCCGCTGGAGTCCCAGTCGGGGGAAACAAATGTCACCCACACTGTGAGGGACTCCGGAGTCAGGGGGTAGCGGAACTCCAGCTGCAGGTAGCAGCCCTGGGGCTCGGGGCAGGCGGGGGGCACCGTGTGCTGGTTGACAGCTGAGTTGGGGCTCCACGTCCGGACGCTGGATTTACAAGGCTGTTCAACATCAGGGTGCCCTGGAAAAAAAGAATGAAACAAAGAAAGTGCATAAAAGAAAGCAGAGAACATGGCTTATCATTGGCAACAGTACTGAAAGAGAAACTGATGGCAGGAGAACATATCTGTTCAGGGAGCTCATTACTCGTCTGGGCAGAACAGGCATGGCTGGCATGGAGAGGAGAAGTTTAGTGCCTGTGTCTCATGGCTGGGTGAGACACAAACCCACCTGAAGCGCTCAGATGGAGCAGACACCACACAGCACACACCATGACACTGGGTCTGGTCCCACACTTCCTATATGTGGTACATTCCCCTGTGCCAAACAGTGATGTTTTCTATCCTTTCCACTTGGTACTTTATCTGATAAACAGACTCGCTTTGCTTTCATTTCACTCTAGTGCTCCTCTTACACCTCTGTTACTCTAAAATGTCACCTTTTCCTCTTTGTCTTTAGCAAAGACAAAGGAAAGAGCTTCTGCTGGTTCCATGAACTCATCACATTGTGTTGTGGGTCAGCAAAATACTCAACTCATTCCTATGCCCTTTACAGGCTCATCTTGTACACTGTGTAAAATCCCTTTTTTGGAAGCACACGGAGCGCAGGTTTGAGTTGGCTCTCTGCACTTGTCATGATGAAACAACAGGCACTTGTGCTTTTACATGTCTCACCACTGGCTATGTTGAGCTACATGGGAGGTATTACCAAGGACTAATGAAAGCCACAGTGCTTGCTGGGATCCCAAATACTATGGTAACATTACAATTTGGCACAGAATCATGGACTGCAAGATCCAGAGAGGTCAGATGGGTGGAACAGTTGGTAACAGAATCCAGTGAGTGCTATAAATTCCCTCTTCCTCCCCAAATAATCACACAAAAAGGGAGCGAGCAGAACAGAGAGAAGACAAAGCATAGGAAATAAGAGAGGAAAAAGAAAAGATAAGGGAAGGTAACAAAAGGAGAGGAATGCAGATGGCAGAAGAAAATGTGAGAGGGAGAGCACAGCTGTTGGCAACCAAGGAAGAAAGTGAGATAAAGCACTGGGCAAACACAAACAAACAGGACATCACTGCTAATTTAAAAAGAAAAGGGCAACGTGTGAAGGTTATTCTTATTGTCTGTGATCCAATGAAGTGATAGAAATGTGCCTTTTCTGCCAAAGATACACAGCCCAGGGAGTTCTCCTGTTCCTACCAAATGAACTCAGACACAGAAAGATTTCCCTGTATCTCAGCAGGCCTCTCAGAAAACCAACACGATGTTCTGTCCCAAAGCTCCCCCCGTGCTCCTCACGTGTCACCAAGCACTGCCACTAACCCAGCACCTGGCAGACCAAAGCATCCACCCACCATGCAGGAAGCCAGAATTGCAGTGAACATCCTCAGACGTTCCTTCTGCCAAGCTCACAAGGACTCAGAGTGTAATCCCTGTGAGCAGAGAGAGCCCCACTCAAAACACATCATCCCACATTGCTTGCTGCCATTCACGTGTGCTTGGCTGGGCCAATGAATGGTGTTCCAGAATTCACAGCGAGCCTCTTACTGCAGCCCTAAGAAGGCAAGTTTTAACCCCAGTATCTCATGTGCTTTGGAAAGAGTTGCATTAATGCTAGCGTCTTGCCAATAGGAAAATGGAGTGGATTAATGGCTCACAGCCTTGCATGTATCTTGATGTTGCTCCCCTAGGGTTCCTGCAAATTCACCTCTGCCAGTTCAAAATCTCTGTAAGATTTAAGTAGAGAATAAACCTACATACTTTGGTACAACAGGAAGAGACCCTATGTGTTCAGCTAAGTCGAAATCAATGTGCACTGCAGGGAGCTGAAAGCGGATCACTGCTGCCTACTGAATAAGAACAGATCTGCCTGGCAAGAATGGGAGCTTGACCATAGTCTGGCATGGACTGAAAACTGAAATGAAATACTGAAGTTGAGATAAGAAGTCCCTTTCTTAAAGATTATTAGACGCTCAGACTTGAAATGCCTGTTTAATTGTGGGACAGCATCAAAACTTTACTCCATGTACCCAGCTTTCTAGACACGGGTGCATACTATGAAAATTACAAATAATTATATATTTTAAAAAATAATGGATTAGATGTTGTGTGCCTGTGTTCCCAAGTTCTAAATACCCTTTAGCTTATGAGAACATCAGCGAGATCAATCGTCAAACAACATTTTGTATGGCCTCCCATATGGCCAAACACAAATAAGATGTGAATGTGGGGTTTGTGAGGATGTGGCAAGTCCCATCTCCAGTCATACAGCAGGGATGGGAGGCAGAGAGGGAGGTTTCACCCAAAATATGGGCTACATGCACAGCCTGGTGTGTCGGTGCAAGCTCTCATTATGAAGTGGGAGCAGAGACCCACATCTCCACACGGTCCTGCCATGAAGACAGAGAAGTGAGGCACTTGCACAGGGAGGTGAGTTGGGACCAGCAGCCTCTGAGGAGCCTGTTGCTGTCACAACTAGAAACTCACCCTGACCTTTCCAATTTGCTCAAGACAAAGCAACTCTAGCCATGGCTCACAAGTGGTTTGGATCAACACGAGTACCTGAGGAGCAAAACAATGCTATGGGACCTCAGCAAAACGCTGTCAGACCAACCAGGTCCAAAGCTGCTTCTGGGACACTTGAGAAAAGTGATGTGCTGGTACAAAGCTGGATGAGTAGTGACATGGGACGTTGTTTAGTGGTCAACAGTTGGACTTGATGTTTTCAGTGGTCTTTTCCAACCTTAATGATTCCATGATTCTGTGAGTACTTTAAGTCCTTTTCCATGAGTGTCTTCTCAAATTTTAAAATGAGTTCATGTTGGCCATGCTTATGGCTCTTTTATACTCACTTTCCATGAACATTCAACCAGAGATTTACATATATGAACATTTTTAGAAAGTGAATTCAATGCTTGCATGCTTGAGAACCCAGAGATAGACAATTAAAGATGACAGACAATGACCTAACTGTGCTATCTGTAACTCAGACCAAATGCAAACAGGTAGAAATCCTGAATGTCAGGGACACTGGTAGCGATGACAGAAAATTAGAGAGCAACAAATACCATACACTTGGTGTATTTTCTACCCTAAAGCAAAAACAACTTGTTAATGTAGTAAAAAGATAGAATTCCCAAATTTTCTTTCCAGAGCAATGGCAAAACAGCAATTGAATGAGACAGATAAGGATCAGACTTCACCCTTCATAGTTAAGAGTATGCAGGAACACACTGTACAAAGAGGAAATTAAATGCAAAATGCAGCTGAGTAATAAATCTTAGAGAAGCTTAGTTTCTCTAGGAATGATGCCGCTGGCAAGACGTGCGAGATCTAGAAGTTTTCAAATCAGAGCTTGTTGGAGAAATTTTGATGGAACTGAGCATCTCAGTGGAATACAGAGTTCTTTCAAAATCAAAACACTTTACAAAATTGGATTTATTTGGCTAAAATTTTACTCTGGAAAAGAAAATGGGAAGAAAGTTCTAACAATAATAGAACATTGTGTTTTGACATTTTTGGAAGAATTCATTTAGCTTTTGTACTTTCAAACACTTTTCACTTTGATATTAAAAGTTGCTTTTGCCCTAGATTATATACTAAGAGGAGACACTTTCAAATGTCATAATTGAACTGAAGTTCATGAAAGAGAAATTACATAAGCTAAATAAAACATTCTGGCCAGCCTCAAACACTTTTTGTTTTTAATTTTCCTTCATGGAGAAATTCAAAAGTTTCAGATTTTGTTCCAAACAAAACCAGGTTTCAAAGTCTTCTAAGAGTTGGCGGAGTGGAAATTCAGTCTTCCACCCTGCACTACAACTGCAAGCGATCCAAATTTTGCTAATCCTGTTTACTTGACAATCAGGTCACACCTGTGGCTGGAGCACTGCTTCCCAGGATGGGGCTCCTCTCAACCTGCATGCAAGGTGCACTCTGTGTTGGGCTCAGCAGCCTTGGCCCTGGATGCCCAAATTTTAATGGGTTGGACTGAACTGCAGCCCCCAGTGGGCCCCTGCCTGGGGTTTGGGCATACAGGGCAAGAAACACTTTGTTTATACATCTCGTCCCATCACAAAGCAGGGAAACAACACGTTGCACACACTGACCTGAGGACTAGGGAGGACTCTTGGTGCCAAGATTAAATGTACTCCTATATTCCTATATTAACTAATAGATAATCTTCCTTGTAGATTAATTCCCATGTATTCTAGCTGAAGGACAGAGAAGCCCTTAATATAAGAAGACATCTGTATAAAGAGTTAGCAAATTCCCAGTGTGAACCTTTGAGTTCAGTGAGACTCATGTATGTTTGGGCTCAGAGTGTGCTGTGCCTGAAGGAGTAGCTTGTGATGGACAGACTGAAATAACAAATAACATTCTGCCCTTCTCAACTATGTACACAATGGATATGGATATTAGGAAAAATCAGGTTGGATATTAGGAAAAATTTCTTCTCAGAAAGAGCAGTGAGGCACTGGAACAGGCTGCCCAGGGAGGTGGTGGAGTCACCATCCCTGGAGGTGTTCAGGTGCTCAGGAAAAGGATAGATGGAAAATGGTTTAGTGGGCATGGTGGGGATGGGTTGATGGTTGGACTTGGTGATCTTTGTGGTCTTTCCAAACATATTGATTCTATGCTTTTATATATGGGGTAGAGTTGACGATGGCAACTTAATGGCATTGTACAACTGTCTCTGCAGACCATTTTTCCACTAATATGCTCTAGAGGAGCCACAAGCACAGCATACAGAGCACCCTGCACTAGACTGAACATGATATAGTCACCTGCAGAGTCCTTGCCCAAAAGGCAGTCCCTGCTCCTTCCAGTGTGTCTGCTGGTGCAGCCTGTTAGTAATTCAATATAAGTGAAGGCAGCAGAAATCAAGCCCGAAGAAATAACATGCAATTCTTCATTTTTGGAGTCAGAGCAGAAGGACTAAACTGCTCCCTTGAGGAATTCATCTGGCAGATGTGAATGGTCAGTGTTTCTTGGCACCCTGCTGCTTTCTGAAGTTCAAGTTCAGCTCCCGAAATTCATTAAACTCATGGGCAGGGTCAGGACACAGGCACCAAAACACAGCGGGGTATTTCTTCGGGAACGCAGTGCATCCATCCATCCTCTTGTTTTCTTCTTGCTACTCTCAAGTACAACCAGCACCCTTCCCCAGAGGTCCCCACCTGCACTGTGGTCTCCTTTTGCTCTGGCCCAACCTCTCCCATGCCACGATTCTGCCCCAGCCCCTTGCTTACCTTCTGCTTCCCGTGGGCTCCAGTGCCCCGAGGGATCGCAGGGCATTGGGGACGAGGCGCTGAAGGCATACTGCACCAGGACTCTTCCCTCCACGCACAGATCACATGCTGATCCCACTTCTCTAGGAGGCCAGGAAAACAGGAAAACACACCACCTTAGTAACAGCTGAATGAGCTGCTTATTCAACTATATTAAAAACAGTAAGATTTAGAATTCAGTTCCACTTAATCCTCTTTTCTTACAGCACGGACGAGAGCGTTTTCTGGCCCTGGCTTGGCAGGTTTGTGCTAACGGCTGTGAAGATGGCATCAGTGTGAGTCACCATCCCATACAAAATGATAGCAACCTAGAAACTACTCTCAGCTGTAAGGTTGTTGTGTTTTTTTGCCCTCACAAACCCAGACAAAAGAAAATGTGTGTTATTTAGAGGCTGGAGCAGAGAAACGGGCCTCAGGAAATATCAGACCTATTTTTACTCCCATCATGGGTTTATTGCATGAACTCGTAGCATCTTCGGGACTTTAAAGGCCTTGGGCTTACCACTGATTAGAGACAGAGTTCAGTCCCAGATCTACAAACATCAGAGAGCTGCTCGGAGAAGCATGACACAGTTCTGCTTTTGGAGGTGGATCACTGCCCAGATCACTAGAAGTCTGGAAACGGGGCAGGCCGTGATTATACAGCAAGGAACATGCCATAGTCCTTTCCACAGGGGAAACTGGATTCGGTACCTGGCAGCCTCAGCACCAGCAGATGGCTCTTTCTGAACTGAAACCCTCATGGCCCCATGCCATCAGATGGCACGACAGGGCACCAAGAAAGGCACTTTGCTGCCCAGTGCCAGATTGCTTCACCTAGACAACAAGCCAAACACCAGCTACTGCCTCTACAGCACTGTCAGCAGAAACTGCTGAACAGGAAAACCCAGTTAAACACTGCTTCACCAACATTTGTGCAAACACATTCATGAGGTGAGGTTTAAGCTGGTGTAGCTCTAATGTCTTCTATAACACTGAATTGATTTATATCAACAGAGGATGTGGCTCACACAGTTTTGTGACATTCCTTTGTAGTCACACAATTTGGAACAACGTGCGACCCAGAATGTGTGCTTACTGATCCCCCAAACTTCTTCAAAATTCACAATTCACTGTTCTGCTTTAAGGAATGATGCCACCCAAAATGGAAGAAACAACTCTTGATCCTAAGTGAAGGAATGCACTTAGGAAAGGACAGAAAGGCAAGCAATGTTGTGCACTCTCTAAACGCCCCAAGTGCAGATTAAGCCATCAATTATTACCACCAGCGATGCAAATTTCAACCATCTCCCATAATGAGGTTTATTTCAGCACACTTTGCAAAGCATGTTGTGACCCATGGGCAGAAGAGGACCAGGGAAAGGGGAGCTGCTCTCCCAGCCCTCCTAAGCTGTCCTGTTCCCATTTGGCACCAGGGACAACTCTCGCTCAGCTGCTCTCTGGCTTAGCATCTCCTATTTGTTGACAGGGATCTGTGTGAAAGTCGGCTTTCAGTTGGCTTAATTAGGCGGAAGCAGGGATTGTCAACAGGGGGGACTTGGAATGAAATCAGTAGCAAAACTCGTATCCATTTCAGTATGGCCCACTGCCACCCTGCAAAGAGACAGCAAATGACCGAGCTCATCGTGGGGAGGGATGCACCTGCTGGAAGCACTTGAAAAATAAAGTGTGGCAATGGGGAAGAGCAGAGAAATAGGAAGCAAAGGTGCTCTCCCCTTCCCTGCATGCTCTGTACCAGACATACTGAATCCATTTGGGCACACTGTGAATCACATCTCCACTCCGTCTCACTTCACCCTCTTGTATTATTGTTATGATACTACCTGCTAATTTCATCTCTCAATTGGCTGCTTAGCAGTGGTTTAAGTGCCTAATTCAGCTTGCCCAAATAATGTATGTTTGAAAAAAAAATTAAGAATCTGAAAAAAATTGGATTGAGAAATAAAAATACATAATTGCTATTGTGCAGGTTTTTTGTTGTGTTTTTTTTTCTTTTTTTTTTTTTCAGACACATCCACCGACAGTAAGGAGAGAAATCCCTGCAATAATAATCTTTCAGTTTCTCTACAAAGAAACTCCTGCATTACTATTCAGTCCTGGATGAGGACAGAGAATTGAAAGCCAACTTTCCACAATTAGGACTGCTTTCTACTCAAATTAGCAGCTATACAATTTCATCACAGGCTGCCATGGTGGAAAAAACTGTAGGCTTATGGACAAACATTTCCTTTTACCAGCAAGGACTTGGAGGTAGGAGGAATCACAAGGAGCATCATGTGGGAAAGGCTATGAGCAAACTTTCTCTTTTTACTTTTCCAGTTTGGGAGCCAAACTGAACCCTGATGTAACTGCACTGGCTGAAAGGAGTTACACAGGGGATGACTCCTGGCTTAAAGATTTTCGTCTTCAGCTTCTTGAGCACAAATCCTGCAAACAGCCACGGATGTCAAAACTAATTATGGAATTGCATGTACAGGCTTATGAAAATCTAAGCCAGACCCTTACACCTTACACAGCCTATGACATCAAGACCAAATGAGCATAAAATGGTTCAAAACATCATTAAATAGGAATGATAGCATATCTGACACCTTCTACACCGGGCACATGATTCCTGAAAGTGAAGGGTAATGAACAATCTAGACTCTGCTGTTTTCTAATAAGGCAAGTACTGGGGAAATTCCAGCTCGTGAGGTTCAGAGCACAGGAGGGATTCATTCCTACAACATGATATTCCAGAGAAGTAGGTTCAAAACATAAAGAATAGCAGTGAAAACCAATTCTCATCAGTACTGGCACCAGTTTAGGGGCACCCCAAAACCAGTAAAAATCTTTCATTCCTTTCTGTAACAAATGCCTGTTCCCAGACTAAATTATACCTGCTTGGTATAAAACCTGATTGGAATTTGTATCACTGATGGCACTGAAACTTTCCAGCAAGATTCAAGCAAGCAGTTATCAAGCCCAGCCATCTAGACCTGGGAACCATACTGGCCAAGATATTCGCTTGCTAAGAATAAGATAGCATCAGATGCATGGAAATTAATACAGTCACCTCAATGAGAACTTGGAGGAGCGGAGGCGTTCAAAGTTTTCTGTCCAAGCAGAATTAGCTGCAGAGCTCTGTGACAATGACTGTTTACATCCCGCCTCCGCATATCAAACAGGAGAGCATGAATGGATGCTTAGCGACAGCAGATGAAGGCATCTCATAGATGCAGTCAGGAAATGAATAGAGTTTTCTTCTTCTCACTTGTTTTCCCTTGTTTTGTTGGCTCTGTTATTATTTTATTATTACACATTATTATATGTGCATGCATATATTCTCATGGTTGTTTGGGTTGTTTTTTTTGAGGTAACATGGAGAAGGACAAGTATCGCAACCCCATATATAGCAGCTGCAAGAAGAAATGCTGGGCTCTTATATATTTGGTAATTAGAGATGGCCAGAAGCTCAACCAGCTGCTGGAGTTTAGGGCCAAACACGTGTGGGCAAATTTATGAGCAGGTAAATGACTCTATGGGGCAACACACTGTTCATCAATGGCTTATAGTACCAAGGTGAGGAAGGTCTATCAGAAAGACTTCAATTTCTGCTCAGCTTGCGCAGCTACACTTGCCAAGGTGTGAAGACATGGTTGGATGGATGGACTAGATGGTCTCAGTGGCCTTTTCCAACTTAATGATTCTGTGATTCTGTGACACGGGACGGCCAACACACATCCACAGCAATGAGTTAGCCCTGCACTCTGTCCTCAGTCCCACAGCACTAAGCAAGCAATTTCTAGAACCAAGGCCTTAAGAGAAGAGCATCAAAAGCTGCAGCACCTGTGACACAGCTGCATCTGAGCAGGGAAGAGCCTGCAGACAGAGAGGAAGCTGTGCCTCAGGACCACACTGATGTGCCCCAGCACCACCGACATCCCAGCCATGCACCAGGCTGCAGCAAGGGCCCCGACACCCCTGCAGTGCTGATGGCAGGTCTTCATTAACAAATGTTTTGCACTAGAGATCTAATTATATTGAGCCACAATGCTTGCTAATGTAGCCAGAGCCATTCATCCTTTTAAGGCCCTTTTACACTGTCAAAACAGCATGGAAGGGGCCTCCGTGCATTAGAAACCAGGCCCAAGGCACTCAGCAGTTGAGTATCAGTCTTCTGTTTTTTACATGAATAGTGCCATTGAAGTGAATGAGTTTATTCATTCAAGTGAGGCAAGTAAAATGTGGGCCATGGTGTGCACTTTGTGTAAAAATATCTGCAAAGATTTACAGTATTCCCACACACAGATAAGATTATACTTGGCCAATTTTACCTCCTACACGTCTTGCACAGTGACCTCATTTTAGGAGCTGACACAGGCAAGCTTCCCTAAGAAAGCAGTGCTGGACACATGGGCACTGAAAGCTTCCAAAGTTTGTCCACCACACCACTACTATCAGACTCGTTTTGATTAAAACATCAGGACTATGGGCTGCCATAGGCATGCTCACTGATCTGTTGTATCTATACGTGATCCACCTATTGATCCTTGTGGGCTCACTGATCTATGTCAGTGTTAAAACAGTCACAGCAACATCTCCACGTTCATTAGAAGTGGGAACCTCATTTCAGAATGGAATTGGCCTTGTGTTTGCATTTGCAACTGCCTCTTTAAATCTCTTCAGTAAAACGGGGCACACACATTTCAAAACCCAAAGGGTATTTTTTCTAGAAAATCACTGTTTAACATAACTCTGTTATGAAATTTTAGATTTAGCAAGCGATTCACTGTATGTCATTTAAGAAGCAACTAACTAAGAGTTATTAAGAACATATTGATCGAGTTATAAGAAATATGTAATAAAGGCATATTTGGTTACATAACAATTAACTCTGTACCAGTGTGTTTTAAGAGGCAGATGGTATTTATTTAACATACAGACAGTATCTTCTGAAATCTAAATTAAATTGGAGAAACTTAATTTACCTAAAAATGATTATGGGCCAAAAAATTCCAAATTAATTCTCAAAACTTCACATAAGTTCCTTTTCACACATAGGGAACAAATGGATTCAGTTGCAAAACTGAAATTAAAACAGCACGAGTCCTGTCTTTCTTCATCAACTTCTAATATAATTTGATTCCCTACTTCCCCATATTAACCTGCAATAAAAAGGGAACATCTCTAAGCACTCAAATTAAGTGCAAGCTGGACACTGAAATGGCCACGCTGTCCTTACAGTGCTGGAAGGAGTTTCTTCCATGCTGAAGATGGTAGCTTTCAAGGTGCTCTCACTGAACAAAGCAGTGCTGAGGCAGCTCTTTGGGTGCTAATATGCCTGTAAATTTGGCCTCCTGCAATACATTCTGCTTCAGTCCTGAAGGACACTCAAAGTTTGTTTTTTGTAAAGTATTAAAGCAAGAAGGGGAGAGGGAATGCAAGCACAGATATGAGCTAATGACAATGTGAGGGCAGTTATTTAGGAAGTTCTCCTGCAGCCCATCCAAGCTCTGTGCTGGGTGCTGCCACCTCCTCCCCCTGGGAGCCACCACTGCCCACGAACCCTGTGCTGCCACGGGGGGAGGAACAAGATTCCCCATGACCTTGCAAAGGAAACATGCAATAGGACGGGGAATGTGTGGGCAGAGCTGGAGCCAACAGGTATTTGTGAGCAGCAATAAGCAGGAGTCGCAAAGCCAGAACCGCTGATTGAAAATTCCTCCCGTGGCCTACGGAAAAAGATTTGCCCTTTATATGGCAAATCAATGACTCTCAACAGAGTGCTACAGGCTGAGGAGGGAAGAGCAGAAAACAGATCAATAATCCCCTCAATACGAACCAATTTAGGAAGGAGCCTCAGCCCAGGCTCAGTGCAGCTCATGTCGAGGCTGCTTACCAATCCCCTGCCCGCCCAACTGAGCACAAGAGAACCGAGCAGCGCGTGGTCACCTTTCAAAGAAGTGCCCATCGATGGGTGGAAACCACTCCAGGGTGACAGAGGTTGGGGTCCGAGCCACGATCTGGGGGGCAATGGCGACAGGAGCTGGTTTCTTTGCCGGCTGCCAGCTCTGATAGACCAGGTCCAAGTAGCAGTGCATCCTGGCCACTTGGTTGGGTGTGAAGGAGTCGGTGCAGTCATCGTCTGAAACAGAAGCAGAAACCGCATCAGCTGCATGGGATTGACAACGGGAGGATTACAGCCTGGTGAAGGGGAGCTCCTGGATGGCACAGGATGGGATCTCACAGCCCTCAGAAGTTAATGGTCTGTGAAGAAATTAACGCAGACACCACTTGTGGAGGTGGGTGGAAGGAAACAAGTTAAAGAGGGAAAGAAAGAAATAAATTCACATTCCATCTCTCTGAACTGGGATGTGTGTGAAGCACCCAGAGGCCATCCCAGGACCAGGGGTGGAGCTGAAGGCACAGTGCAGCACCGCTGGATTTGGAAGAACTCTGTGCCTATGAAAACAACTCAGAAGGGCAAAAGATAGCAAGTGTTAGGATAAAGCACTGACCAGCAGCCATGTAAACTGTGTGCAATGCACTGTGACAGTTTTCTTAATTAAAAGAAATAAGAATTTAAAAAATAGGTAAATAACTTTTTACAATTTCTTGTATTTTCTAATGAACAAATGAAAACGTTCTGAAAGACCAGCTCTAAAAAGTAGTTTATACTGATTAAAAACGGCTATTTTTGGTGCAGCAAAATAGCTTTATTTGTACCACAACCTTCCCCCATCAGTGTGATTCTCATCTCTTTCTGAACTTTTCAGAAACATTTTTGATATTTCAAGTTTCTTTTTCATTCAACATGGAGAAATAATTTGCTGGATAATTTCCCATAAATACCCATTTCTCATGTCTTATTTCATCTGCATTTCACAAACACGATTTGGCAACAAGAACACGCCTGGTACTATCTGAACATCATACAGTTTAACAACTGCAATGCCCTGGAGAAGCAGAAAATTACCAATCCTCCATTGGGCAGATCACAGAAAGAGTAACTGCATTGTGCAAACACCCAGAAAAGCTGTGCTGAAGACCTTGGTTCTGGCACTTCAACCATTTTCCTGCTACTCTTCCCATCACATGAATAGCTCTTGAAAGCCCTGAGTGTTTCTTCACGTATGACTGCAGAGCTCCCAGCCCAGTAAATCTCAGGCCCAGATGGGACCTCTGCATGCTGCCACGATACAAACAATGACAGTTTTGCACAGGTCACGTAATACTCTTCTTGGAGAAGATGCAGGTCACCAAAGGCTGTTTGGAGCATCGCCTGCGTGCACGCAAGTTGGCAGTTTGATATTGTAGCAGCATTACGAGATGCTCTCATGTCTTCGAGTCCATGCCCTGCGAAACTCACAAAATACGAATCTGTTCTGAAGAGAAGTGTGAATCTGGTGGCTAATTTAAAACCTTACTGCATCTTCCCTGAACCACGTGGAAAAGGAGTCGGCTCTGGTTGGGATCCTGCTCAGATTGCAGCCCCAGGTGCAGCCCTGCTGCTACCGATTCGCTCAGGACACCTCCGATTACACATCCTCATCTCTCCCTCCTGATGCAGGGACCCTCCCCTGGCCAAACAGGCACAGCAGGCTGACAGGCATCACCAGCCTGAGAGTCTCTACAAATCCCCGTGGTTATGCAAAAAGCTGCTTTAATATGACATCTCTACATATCCTCAATAACTGCCCATGGCCTATCCCTGAGCATGCTGTAAAAGCCATAAATACTCTTCACGGAAGCCCAGAAGGAGACAAAAGGCCCTTAATAGCCATCATAAAGGAACAATAAAACATATATAGGACAAAGCAGTGAGACAATGGCACAGGAGAAAGATGACCTGCATTTTCAATCTGTTTAAACAGCAGCACAGGCTGTGTCCTGGGGGAGGGAGAAGGCGAGGGCAGAGATGTTTCACTTGATCACTCAATTTCAAGAAGGGCTGAAGAGCTTCAAATGAAATTATAATTAGAGAAATTCAATGCACTTTGCTGGGATGATTATTCCAACAGAATTCAAAGGCAGAATTCCCGCTGACTTTGTGGAGAGTGGTCTAAAAGATTAACCTATATTTTTACCTAGGAGCACCACAGCTAGTTGGATGTTTAAAATAATAAAAGCATTGCTCACACTTCTTGACATTCTAGATTTTGTAAGTTGGTATTTTGGGGGATGAGAAGTCAAGTTTTGTTTGCTGCTTTGCTAAAAAGTTGGGGGAGACTGGACAGATGGATGAGAGACAGACAAACACTATGTGATACAATTGTATGCAGGCAGCAAGAGAAAAAGGCAAGGCGATGTTTAGGGCTGCATGACCTCAACCAACATGTTTCAAAGGTATTTCCACAGTGATTTAATATCCTGATATGATTTTTATTCCGCTGGCAACAACAGAAAAGCAAACAGATTCATGCATGAGCTCTAGAGATACCTATCATGTCGCTTCACTAAATTTTTCAAGGAAAAAAAAGGCTTTTGCTCAGAACACCAGCACACACGTAGCTCCCAACAGCAGATAAGATATCACTGTGCTCTGTCTCATCTCTTGACACGGCTGGCAGGGCAAGTTCTCTTTGGAAGATGAGACCTCAGGGTTTTGAAACATGCATTCATCACCCCTCTTCACGTACCCACAAGCAGATTTGGTGGAGGGATATTGTAGATCCAAAGTGCTACTGACTTATTTGTGTGGAATAGACAGAAGATTGCATGAGACATTAAAGCTTTCTGCCCTAACACATGTACAGAAGTGCACAACACATTCAGCACCTGACTCAGTGCTTGTATGTTGCCCCTGAAAACACCCTCTAAATGAACAGAAAAATAAAGAGGAAACTAAGCACCACTTTTAGCTAGTGCCACGAAGGGCATGAAAGCATTTATGTTACAAATCATTTCAATCCGTGCCCCAGATGACATTAAACATTTTGCTTTCCTACAGTTTTTTATTACAGAATAAGCACTCTTATAACCTTTGGAGTGGGCAATCTGTGTTTCTGCCTGTACTGTTAAGGTGCCCTTCAGTGTCTCTGCTTGTATTGGTCACCTCTGAAGTGTTGTGGATGCTGCTAACGTGGTGCCATAGACATTCAGCACTGCTAGACCCCAAGGCCTGAAATAAGAAAATACAAGCCCAGGCATCCTCTGCTCCTTCTGAGAAACAACAGAGCATCCTTCACCTCCCCTTGAACTTCCAGGAGTGGAGCAAGGAGTGGCACAAAGCAGCACAATGTGCTGAGAGCCCCTGACCACTGGAACACTCTTGATCCAGGTGCTACCTGAGCATTCACACGCTGCTGCTGATGGGAGTGACTGCAGCTGAACAGCAGACAGTCTAAATCAAACAGCAAACGTGATATTTGAACGGCTGCACAGAGGCGTGAGCCGTGCCTCATTAGATGCCTATCACAGGTACATCCCACAGTTTTGGTGGTGTCAATATTCATCTGACATTTGCTATCTCCTGGAGAGAGTGTAAACAATCTCTGAACTTGAGTTTTTCAGAGAAGAATTCCTAGATCTGACATCCAGCTCTCAGTCAAAGAGTGTCAAATTTGCTGAAGAGCTTTTAGGTGCTGTTTTCTTAATGCTCAACTCGTTTCTTTCCTCCCCCATGTGATGACCTACGCACCACATGAAACTATGTACAGTTTAGAAAATTTGGGAAAAACAGGAGATGTGGAAGGAATTCCTGAGGCCATCAATTTTAGTCTCCATCAAGACTGGCCCTAGACCTGTCAGGTCTAAACCTAGACAGGACGCACGCCAACATAAAGCCCCACGTGAAATGCACTGCAGAAATCAGAGATAATATTGCTGCTCGCTACTCCCAGGCAACCACAGACCCCAGCAGCAAACCAAGGAAGCCCAGGTACCTGCATAGCTCATGAAGTTACTGAACGGTGTGTTTAAGAAACTGTGAAAGCCACACGTGTCATTGCCAGGTCCGGGATCCCCACACAGCTTGTGCTTAGGAGCAGGGTTGGTGTCTCTGCAGAGGTCCCCGGTCTCGAAGGAGGGCTCTGTTTCCATGCATGGATCACTGCAGGACAGGATCTCTGAGATCCCCCGGAAGACGTGGTAGAGCCCCAAGCTGTGCCCAATTTCATGGATCATTGTATGCGTGTGACCAGGAATGCCATAGAAGGAAGGATTCAGCACAATGCCACCTGCAAGGGGAAAAGAAAAGAGCTTCTACATTTGTCTGCCTTCCTCAGAACAGCGAGAGAAAGATCCAGCAGCTGTTCGTTGGATCCTCCATAACGCAGACTGTCTTTGCACAATTGGACACATCACATGCACAGCATGGTCTAATCTCACCGTAATGTGGGACTCCTAAGGATGAGGAATCATGGGACACAGTCCCACAGTACCAAAGCAACAGTGACAACTGGTCTTTCCACTGAATATGCTCAATTTGGTTTGTGTGTTTTTAGCTCAGAAAATACATCCTACATGCAATTATTTCATACTGTGCAATTTCAGATCATTTCATGTGCTTAGACAGAATGATTTTGCCCAGACAAGCGTAAGCAATGCATTTCACACCAGGAGTCAAACAAAACATACCTGGAGCCCTCAGTACATTATTCCACAGGGTAAAAATATAACACAGCTAAACACGCTAAAAATTGCAGTAGGTTGCACTGATATTTACAAACTAATACCTGGGTGAGGAAAATGGAATGCACTCACTGCTGGAAAGAGAGAGGTATTTGTGGGGTGTGCTCTGATCCTGTAGACAGCTTTGAAGTAACAGTGAGAAATACATTGCTCATATACTGAGATGAGCCTCGTTTGGTCTGAGCTACACAGCCCACTGATGAATATGCATAAGTCTAATGTGTCAAAAAAATATTAAATCCTGGAACATGATAATTCTGAAAGAACTGCGTGGCTGTTAAACATGTGCAAAGAGAAGCAGTAGTGATTTTTTTGTTGTTGTGTGAATTATGGGATGGGTACATGAGCAAATAGTAAATTTGTGAGGCTTGACAATTTATTGAATTAATCATAAGCATTATATTTTTAGCTCAGCTAGATGTACCTTTGGATTTATGATATGCATCATGTTTTCTTTATTTAGCTTGTTGACCTCAACTTTTCCAAGCCTTTCATTTAAAACTCTTTGTATATATCACCTTCCATGAGAACGGGAGTTCGCTTTGTAAAAGTAATAGTGGGAAAATAAATCTTGGATACGTTACACTAATAAATCAGTGACAATAAGGAGGGAAAAGACTTTGACAAGAGGAGTTTTATCAGTGACTGCAGCATAGGGAAGATGAGGTCACCAGGGTCTGATGCACTGTAGGCTGTTCATTCTCATCTGCTGGGAGACTTTTGCTGTAACAACCATGGAATTACAGGGAAATAAGACTGAGAAGATCACAAGAAGTCATCTAATCAAGCTCTCAGAACAACATGGCACCAATTATATCTCTACCATCCCTCACACCTATAGGACTGATGTCTCCTTACAACCTCCAATGATGTGACCACCCTGGCAATCTACTTCAGCAGTCATCATCCTCACGGCGGCAAGGATTTAACTCACATCTAATCTGAACTGATTTTTTGGCAATTTAAGTAAGTTCATTACTTGAAGTCCTGCCTCACACAGACTCAAGGAACAGAAGATTCTCCTCTCCTTTCATCAGCTTTTATGAGATTGTTATCATCCCAACTTCAGGCTTTTTTCCATTAGTCTGAATAGCCATAATCCATTCAACATTCCCATGCAGCTCAATTCTTCTTCTAGATCTCCCTGACCATTCTTCTTTGGTTTACCCAGTTGTGTCATGTTTTCCTCCAAATACAGTGCCCAGATACAGTGCAGTACTCCAGCTTTAATCAGTGCTGAAGAGAAGGACCACTTTATGTGTCTTGCAAAGATATATGCACAATAGAGAGAGAAAAAAGACTTTCACTTTGTGCATTGGCATATGTGAATGTATGCACACAGTGGAGTCACATGTGGATGCGTAAATAAATACTTAGCACAAATAACTCAATAGCAAATTTAAATATAAACACTAAAGAGCGAATAAAACGTACCATACTCCAACATCATGCCTATTATGGCACGTTCAGAGTCTGCACATCCTTTCCACAACCCTGAGCTGGTCCTTACACTAGTTCTCCACAAGCCTGGTGTGCACAGAAATACGCAGCTGCTGCCACCACCGTGCTCCTGGCATCCTTCTCTCCCCCTTCATACAACACATGTTCTGATCCCTCCAGTGCTTGGGTTCCACTTGGATCCGTTCACACTCTGAAGGAATCTTGGCACATCGTTTGGTTGTCCTCTTTCTCAAAGGTACTTCAGAGTTTGTTTTTAAATGGTGGGAGTATTGGTGAAATTCTCCAGCCTTCATAATAGAGGCTGGCCAAATGGTTCTGGCATTGGGCAGCCCTGAGGCAGCTGGAGAGGGAGATTTTATTTTTGCCTTTGTTGAAAATTTATATTTTTCACAGCTGTCAAGAATCTAAATCAATTGCAGTTTTACAGAAAAGATAAACTCCTGCACCCAGACAATCTCTATCCCAGCCTTTAGATCTGCACCACAGGACATATTTCATATTTTTTATTAAGTACATATTGGATTTATAGAAGAGAGTAAAAAAGATTAAAGATGAATTCTTACAGACCAAGCACAGGTCTGGGAGGGCTATTATGACAGGAAATTATGGCCATAATTTATTTATTTTTACTTTTTTTCCACTGCAAGTTAACTTTAAACTGTTGGCTATGTCTTCTTTTCTTTCTTTTTCTTTTTTGTATGATCTCTTTTTTCGTCAATAGATTCTGCCAATACACTGTAGGAGCTGCATTTAAATTGTTTTGCTCAGGCATGATGTTAGCAATTAGCTTAATGAAGTGACAGAGGAACCCATCAGGGCTTTGGGCAAGCCCTAGCCCTCTTGCAGAAGGTTCTTCTCTGCCTTCTGGAGCTCTTTCCTTGTTCTCTGCTCCCTCCCATGGCAGCACCAAGGGAAACTATGAAAATACTCATTTAGGGGCAGATCTACGCCAGCCTTATTTCACTCCAGCGGTAACATTAGGGGTGGTGTTTCCTAACACTAACCAGAACTGCTGTGGGCTGATGAAGGAGTATGGGGTTGTAGGACTGCAAAAAGAGAAATTTCAGCAGCACGGTGGGGATGGTGGAGCCTGGGGTTAATACATTTCTTTGTTTCTGCCAAAAGATGTAGTCGTGGGGAAGGTTCACCAGCAGACATTCCCATCTCCCTCTGTTTTGGGTCCTCCCAGCCAAAGCCCACAGAGATAGGGCTGGAGGCAAGTCAGTGGAAGTGGCTTCACTTCCAGCCTTGCTCAGAAGGAGGTGATGTCTGGATGTGTGTCAGTGCTAGTTCCTGGGGAGGAAAGTTTGCTCCTGCTTCTTCCAGAGCAGCTGCAGAGCTGGATGTCATAGTGAAACACTGGTAATTGCAGGAGGGCAGCCAGCTCCTACTGCTTGGTCTGACCACGGTCCCTCTCAGCCACAGACATGGCTCACTGGAGGTAAGTGTTAACATCAGTATGTAAAGTCATGCAGTTCTGAGTGTAGTGAAGCTGTAGTTCAGCTCTTATAGCTATAGGATGTATGTTTAGTGTGCTTCAGAGTAATAAAAACCATATTCGCTGACTTCTTCTGGGATTCATGTTTGCCCATCTTTGTTTTGCTCACTGTGGGCTTAGATAACGAAACAAAAAATGGCTGAAAGTGCCTTTCATAAAGGCTGAATGGACATGGCTGAAACTGGGCTTCATCTACCTAGGGAGGCCCAGCCAGGCAGGAGAAAGTATCTGCTATGAAGTGTGCAGGCCCATCTGCAGGGCAGCAAACTCTTCCCCGTTCCACTCAAACAAACATCAGAAATACAATCTCTCAGCAGTTTGCTCTTTTGCACGGCGGTGGAAAAAAATAGCAACAAAATGTCATCTGTGAGGAAAATTAATTGGATGCTCACTTAGTAACGAGCTCAGGATCATAACGTAACAGGTTAAGGTTAAAAATTCATGTCTGTCTAGCATTCCCTCACCTATCTCCTCCAACCCTCTTTGCAGAGTGCTCTCATGGAGCAAATGCCCTGTAAAGTAGCTTCACTTAAAAGGTGAAATACTTTCAGATTGACATCATCTACAAATACCATAATATGCTTTGGGTTTATAACCTAATATTTTCCTGGTTGTGAGCCAGTATCTGGGAATCATGAAATACTTTTTTTCCCCTGACTATATGTTAGAGGAATGATAAGAAATCAGACCAGAGCTTAGTGCATATTTGTCTTGCCTTCTTAGCGCCTCAAAAGAATGCTTTACAAAGGAGAAACATCTTTATCACTCACCTAGATGCATCAAGGCCTCCTTGTCCCAGGGCCAAGTTGCCACTCCAGCCAGCTCTTCCTCAGAGGAGTTGGCAAAGAAGATGTTGAGGTGTGTGGATCCATCCAGTTTGAGGATGTTCTTCAGTTCATTGACATCTAAGTATGCTCTGTTAAAAAAAAAAAAAAAAAAAAAAAAAAGGAAAAATTCAATTTTTTTTTCTAAAAGTGGCACAAAAAGCAACGAAGTATTGAAGAAGTACTGCAATCCAGGCAAAGATCTTATAATATCCTGCATATCAGTCACCTGAAATATTTTAATAACTCACTCCCAAATTTCAATTACTTCACATTCATGCCGTGAATCTCATCTGAGGACTTCCAGCCATTTCTTAACTATGGCTACAAAACCCAAGGTAAATACATAAAGCTGTCTATATTCCCAAGATAAGTATAGGAATCTTTTTATTATGAATGTAATTAACCGTGTACTATGGCCAGTAAATCTTCCTGTATCAGCAGTTACCTTGCACATTTTTGGTGTTTTAAACTGCTGTTCTCCCCCATAAGAAGCTCCACATCTTCAGCCTGGCACCAGCTCCCAGCATTACTGCTGTAACACCAGTGGCATTCCTCCTGCTGAGATGCACTCAGCCTAGCCCTGACACAGGTTGGCTGGTTGGGAATTGCTATTTCCAGGTTCCTTTTGGAACCTCTTGAAAGAAGTAGATTTTGTTGATACCAGAACACAGGAGGAACTGCTAGCCCAGTGCATCCCATGGTGCCCACTGGTGCCAGTGGCACCGTCACGCTCTAACTCAGAGCAGAGCTGAAGCGTAAGATTAAACCCATCTGTTCCTTGTCTCCAGCACACACTGCCTCTTGATACTGAGTGCTGTGCTAACACGGGACCTAAAACATGGGTGAGTTCTGCTGTCCCCACCTGACAGGTGGGAATATTGGAAGGGGAGGGCACGCTGAGCCAAACATGGCTGACCGGCACAGGAAGGACACCGTTATGGTCTTGAGCAGTTCATTCCTTCTTGCTTAAACCCCGTTTCCATATGTATGTGGTATGTATAGATCCACACTGCTTCACAAACCAAACGCACTCCCATTCCGTAAGCAGGGTTCCTTGCATATCTTACAAGGCTTTCGCTCCCAGAGGGATGAAAAAACAAACAACCAGGGGAGTTGGCTCAGCACCAGGATCTTTCTGTCCTTCCCTGGAGGACTCCCCAATGGAAAACACATTCTTATTTCCACAATAGCTTCCCCTGCCACTTGCTGAAGTCATTGCCTCCAAAATAGCTCATGGCTGGGTGTCCCCAGGCCCTCGCTGACTCATGGAGGAAGACGTACTCTTTGGGGACACCGATGGAAGGGTATGTTTCCATTCCATACAGTATTTATTTTCCAATCAATGCAGATGACATCCTGAAGGACAGGTCAGCACTGTGACCCTTTACACATTCCTCATCTCTCCACTGTTCCCAACACATCTTCCTAAAATACACAGATCATTCCCTTAGCTCCTCAAGCTTGTCCTGCATGTATCTGCACAGTGATCTGGGCCTGTGCTTAATCTATTTCCAGGATCTTATTTGTGCTTTTGAAAACATCTTTTCCAAACATGGGCTCACAGTAAAACGTGTCCAGAAGCACTAAGTTTGAAATCACGTATGAGAGCTAGAGAGCATTTCCAAATGAAAATGTATCAGTGGGAAAACGTGATGGGAGATGTGTTTGTATGGAGGGGACAATGTGTATGTCTGTACATCTGATAGCATCAGTAAAAGGCAGTGAGTAAAAGTGTAAGAGAGAACGTGGGAGTGATGTGATACTCTGGGCAAGAGAGTAAAGGACAGGAACAGAAGCACTGCATACCCCTGAGCAGAAAAATGTTTGTGTTTTGTATCACTGTGGGAAGGAAAGGCCCACTGTATGTATTTGAGACTGCAGTTGTTGACTCTGGATGCAGACGCTTTACTGCCTGTGCAAATCCCTGTAGCAGTTACTATAATCAAACTCCCCTCCTGAGATTACCAGCTTTATTCTCATTCTTCTCTAATGGTTTCAAATTATTTAAGCTGATAGTTCTTTATTCTCAGCTGCCTTTTTCTTGCTGTTTACACAATCCATTCCCCATCTATATCCTCGACGCATGGCCACAATCACGCTCCCAGTTAGGTGCATGCAGGCTATGTGTTTCACCATCTAGGGCTGTTCTGTATATGGATTATTACTGCAGACAGCATTTAACTAATTGGCCAGTGATGTCAGTGCATCACTGAGACTGAATTCGTGCCCTACGTAAATCCACTGTAATAAGTCAATCAGACTTATCTTTATAGTATTTCTCTGTCCGCAACTTCTCTGTGAGCCAACGAAAGGCTGCAGAGGAGCAGAATGTATTCCAGTGGGGTAAGAGCGGATTGCTAAGAGGATTTTTAGCAAAGGTGCTGCACAAAAGTAAGTGTAAACAGCTCATGCTTGGGAGGAAGTAAATGCAAACCCCCTTGTAAGAGCACCCTGCAACCCCCAGCACGCAAACATGCTAAAGCATTTAGCTCAGGCAAATCCCTTGCAAGCGTGTGAACATGTGCCTGCATGTGCGTGCATGAATGGAGGTGTGAGTGGAAGCAAGGCTTTGGACTGTGCACACATGTAAGCCAGCCAAGGGTATGTATGCAAAGGAACGTGTGTGTGTGTAAGAGATAAAAACATGAGCTGGAATTCCATCTTCTCCTTCCTCCCCATGTTTCTAATAACCTCCCATCCCTATCCATCATCACCACATTCCTACACTCAAGGAGGCATAAATTAACTACTTTTGCAGTTCATGTCCAACTTCGTAGCCGCAGGCAGCAGACCCAACAGTTACCAGGTCACAACAGCTTTCAGTTATTGTGCTGGACTGGGCTGACTCCCCCCTGCTGCTGTGGCTGCTTTGTTATCAGCCCAGACTATCTGACCCAACGCAGTGTGTGAGCACTGCTTACACTTCTCAAGGTTATGTGGGTCCCCTGATAGAGGACATAATGTCTGTCACATGGGCTTGTGCCAAAGAGAGCCAAAGAGCCCAGCCTTTCCAGCACTGCCAAACTTGCATTTCAAAGACATGAGTGCAGTCTTGGAAGGGGATCAAAGCCTTTCTAGCTGTCATTAGAATATTTCCTTTATGCATCTCTCTGTGAGTGCCAGCAACATATTTCATCAAATTCACTGGCTTGAGATGGTACCTCCAATATAAACCTGAATGGGGGGGAACTGTCAGGGCAAGTCTAGGTGGAAAACAAAACAAAACCCAAAGCACAACAAAACACGTGTAATTCCTGTAATGGAAAAAACATACGATGCCGTGAGCATGCCTAGCTCAAGAAATCCTAATGAGCCTATTAGTGCATCATAAAAAGTCTCTTTTCCTGGAATGTGTTTTAGACGTAGAAACTCTATGGTCTGCTCCAGGCCATTTAGGACACTGAATCCTATCAGACAACAAGCACGTTCCCACCCAGGTCTTTTCTCTGAACTATCTGTCCAACTCAAATCTTTGGTTTGTTTTTTTTTCATCCACTCTGAAAGCTGCACTGTACAGCAGCTTGCTCTTACCCAGTAAGCCCGGACCTCAATCAGTGAGATGCATCCTCTCCAGTGCTCCAGTTTCAGTCTAATGGGTCCTCAGCGCGCTGCCGCCTGCCCCATCACAGAGCCATTAGCCCCATGCCTGCCTCATCTGCCAAGCCCATTTCCTCTCTGGTTGGGCTCTGCTTGGACCCCCACCCCAGAGCCCATCTGGCCACAGGGCTGCTGTGCAGAGCTGCCTACTCAGCTGGTCCTCAGCTCCACCACCAGCCTCAGACCTGTGCTCTTAACTACACACACAGCTGCCAAGGGCTCCTGCACTTGGACGTATCAGGTATCAGATCCAATCATATTAAATCTGGTTTTATAAGAGGGTTGGAAGCTCTTCCTCCTGCTCTGTTTTCTTCCTGGTGCAGAGGCAGAGAGCAGCCCGTGTTTCCTTAACACAGCCAAGGTGCAGCTTTTGCTCTTGTGGTTGTTTTTGCATGGAAGACAGAGTCCTCCAGCCCTCATTGTTAGGAAATGTTTTCTACTGTTTGCTCTGAGTTATTCTCTATTTGTCTTTGTTTTGTTTTGTGTTTTTTTTTCCTTCAAAGATAAATGTCACTTTGCAGCAAGAAAACAAACAGGGCACTTAGGGTATTATTTGCAAGACCCCACACAAACAAAGAGTAAGAACTCAGCTATCTGCTCACTATGGAGTACAGTCTCCAACTGTCTGATGGTTGGTTAGGAATAAAAGGCACTGCATTTCACCATCTAAAACAAAAACAAACAATCAAACAAACAAAACAAAGCAAAAAATCAGACCAGCATTGTCTTGGGAAGTCAGCCTCAAATTTCTCCCTTTTTGCCTTGTGACACAGCGTCCTGTCCCTTACCAAATGGGTTCAGCATATGGCAGGGAAGAGTAAATCTGGTGGATCCACAGGGATTCAGTATCACTCTCTTTCCAAGACCAGTTGTTTGTGCTTTCATTTGGTGCAGCCATTTGGCAGCCCAGCCTGAAGTGTGGCATACATACAGTTTAGGAGGCACAGGAGTTTAGGAGGAGAAAGCCCATCTCATCCATTCAGCATTGGTGAGCCAAGGTGTACACCTAGAGATTTTCAAACATCTGCAGTGAACAGCAAGGATAGTTTTGAGAGAAATGATTTCTTCCTGAAGCTAATGGCAAATGCATGGCTACACGGCGCTGAAAGCTGGCCCTGAAATGCTGTCCATTGGCAGGCACACACAGTCTCACTTCAGCTTTTCCTCTGGGTGGTTAGACACAGAACTCTTCTTTTGGAGATGCAGCGTTGATGCCAGTGTCTAAGCTGCCTTTTGTCTTATGTCATGGAGTCATAGGAAAACAAGTCTGGACAAGATATCCAGAGACCATCACTGCTAGCCCTCCACCCAGAGCAGGAGCATCCCAATGTACCAAACAAACGAGGTAATGGTGAGGTATTGGCACCGGCTGTCCAGGAGTGGTGGGGTCCTCATGGAGGTGTTCCAGAACCATGGAGATGTGGCACTGAGGATAAGGTCAGTGGGCACGGTGGGATGGGTTGGGGTTGCACTTGATGATCGTAGAGGTGTT